TCGAATTAAAAGATTTAGACGTTATGATTATTTTCATTTATTTATTAAAAATGAATAAATAATAAAATGAATAATAAAAAATAAAATAAATAAATAAATGATAAAATAAAAATGCTAGAATAAAAAAAAAGAAGAATAAAAATTTCAAATGTGTACTGTCCTATTTGGCATTTCCCTATTTGATATAAAAAATAAAATACAATATTTTCAAGATCAGTCATCTTTCACAAAAAAAAATAGTGAAGTTCAATTAACCTTGAGTACTTGATAAATAATTATGAATAACACCCATTAACTTTTGAATTATCATTCACCACAGACTATTCAACAGGAGTCTCTCTTCATCCAACTTGTTCTATGATGATTCTGATGACGAGGCAGGTGTCTGCATGGGAAACAAGACGAAGGGGAGGTGGATACTCTCAATAACACATGTGCTTAGACGTCATTTCGAATGTAAAAATTCATGTTCGTATTAATGTGGGGTAAAATAGTGAGGATACGAGGTATGTCACAGCGCATCATCACGTGGATGCGTGGAGAATACTCGGATTAACGATTCCCGAGGCTCCCGCTTCGTCATGCTTGCAAACTATGCATCTATCCTCGGTATAATGGGTTTATCTCGTGGGCTATTGATTCAACTCGCGGTGATAGGTTCAAACGCATCTCAAAGTATTCATTGGCTATTATTCTTGTTGTCTGAATGATCAACATAATCAAGAGGATGAGATCACTATTTCAGGTGAATTAAAGTAGCTCTACCCCTCGGCCGGGCTACGCTGTACTTTTGGATATTTTCAGTTTTAAAATTTTTCAACTAAACTGCATGGAAAAAATTTGAAAAAATTCACACCCAGTCAGTATTATCTAAATTAAATTTTGCAAAATATTGATATATTTCCCTCTTATAATTAAATCATAACACTTGTTTGCAAAACGGTGGATTATTTTTTATGAGGTGTCAAAAAAATTCTTGATTTTTTCACATCTAATGAAAAAAAATTCAGATTTTAATCTTTGATTACAATGGAAATGTTGATTTTCACGTAAGACACTGGGTTAAATCCCGTTTTTTAAACATTTCTTCTTTTTTTTTTTATTAAAGCTTCGGAACCCATTTTCGGGCTCATTCAGCTGTTCACACATTTCTTCTTTGAAAAACCAAAACGATAATTAGGGTGAACCAACCAGTGTTCGAACCAGACCAGTAATCGAACTAATTGGTACTTTTTCTATAAAATAAATTAGTAGAAGGTAGAGATGCCTCGCATTATACATGAAAAATAAAATTATGACATTTCCAAATGATATTGTGATGATTGACAATGTCCAAGTTACCTTATTACCAGCGGAAAAAACAGTTTTCGATGACACGCCGCCAATAGCATATTCCCATTACAGAATACGCATTTCGATTACTGGGTTTTCACACATTTTCAGCTTTTTGTATTCATATCATTAATTGTATCGTCAATTAATACCCATAATATTTTTTTCTATTATCTATGGAGATGTACAGGTGAGTTATAATTATTTTTAAATCAATTTTCAACTTGGTTATATTTCTAAATCTACGTTAAAAATAACTGTAACCTTATTCGTTCGAACACTGGACGATTCACCCCAAATTGAGAAAAAAATTAGAATTCCGAATCTAATGGAGTTTTCTGCAATTTTTTAACAGTTTTCAATAATCTTTGAATTTACCGTAAGGGTAGAGCTACTTTCAGGATATTACACTGTTAAAATTTTTTTAAAATTTCATGGAAAATATGATGGTAATTCTCGTGAGAGTGACATTGAATCTGATTTAGGGAAAAATCAGTAGCGAAGTGGTCAAACGGTTTAAGTTGATTTTGGCCATTGGCCAGTTTTCACTGAATATCTACGCTGCGTAAATAATTAGAAAGTTTACTTTTGGAGGAAAATTAATGAAATAATTAAAAAATTGCAGTCCGAAAATTTGAAAAAAAATCATAAAAGTAAAATAAAAATTTTAAAACTGAAATAAATATCGAATAGTACTTTAAATATGATTTTATAAAAAAATCCACTGAATTTCTTTGCACAACGACACCAGCACTTCCCCACAGCCTCATCCATCTTGACCTCAGCGAAACGACCTCATCGAAACAATGAGGCACGCCCTCTCGGTCCGCAATAGGTGAGAAAAACGTTCCAAATCGGGGAAAAAGGCAATAAACCCACCTGAACGATTTTTCGCCGCAAACATGCGGCTTTTGGGGCAGGACCTGAATAACCTGTAATTAAAGCACCTTGGGTGTGACTGCAATAGAACGAGCAATAAATTTTCCCCTCGTCTATACCTGTATCCTACGATTCTGCCCCCACACCTATTGATCTCTGTCAAGTTACATATTTGATTTAGCGAATATGTGAAAACAAAAGCGTGTGCCACAAACGGGAGAAAATCCCCGAATTCCAAAACCTGTTTTTGATCTAGAGAAAAAAAAATCCTTCCAATTCAAGAGTTTTTCCAAAGTAACTTTCAATTTTCTTTTAATTTCAATTACTCATCGAATTTTTAATGAAATGAAATAATTAATTTTTCCTCATGAAAAGCCCAATTCTCGATCTCAATTGATGAATTAATTCCCAAATAATGAACAGTAAAAAAAGAATCAAGTGTCCGTTTTACCCCACCCCTTATTCAATATTTTAATCATAATTATAAAATACAAAAATATAATTAAAATACATTATCCCCTCAGTAGATAATAATCAATTTGCCCTTTCGCTGTAATCGCCGATGATAAATTAGCCATCACCCATGAACAAAGCCCCGAATGACGAGGACAATCAATGAATATCTCCATCACCCATCAAATCCAATCATAATTAACAAAATTGCATCCCCCACTAATTTCTTCACGCATCGCGCACATTTTCCCCGTGTTTATACGAAGCCAACAGGAGAGGACCGTCAGCTCATTTATTGTGTATTAGTAAAAGGATAATGAGATCTGGCCTTTTGCCTTGTGCCAAGGCGCCGCTCCGGTCTCCTTCCAAAAAAAAGGAGAAAATCGACACTGAAAAAAAGGGAAAACGAGACTGTGGACAGGGTACACGCCCTCGGCTCCAGTTTTCGGAAGACAGAACTGCCGAATGATTTTCCCCTGCCTTTTCCCAAAAAAGGGGGCCAGGCAGCACAATATTTTGCGAGTTGGGGAATGATTTGAAAAACGACCCAACAACCCGTCGGTTCTACAAATCAAATGGACATGGTTATGATTGCATTATAAAAGTTAACGAACCTTGACTAGTTCGGTAACCAATTCCAAGGGAATTAATATTCCAACCGCCAGTATGAACATTTAAATTTCTCTTATTCCGCCAGGCCATCGTGATTTTTAACAATTTTAGCAATCAAAAATGAAACTAACTATAAATTTCCACTAATTTGTCAAACGTTTCAAGTGGTAAATCCACTCATAAGGGCAATTTATTAAATTTCTATCTATTTGAAGGAAACCATTTTAACGTCAAAATTCCACAACAAATTTGAGGAAATTTAATTCAATTTCATTTTTGATTTCGTACTTACAATCATCTCAAGACGCTAAATCCTCAGCAAAACCATCAGCATTTCATCATCGGATGCACCCCACAATGCCCCAAACAAACAAAAAAAAAAAATTCCTGTAAACTAGGCAGACCCCATAAAACAGTCAAATTTGTCCCCAAATTTCTGACCCCAAAGGCGTTTAAAATGTCGTAAAGTACGCCACAGAAAAAAAAAGAACGAAAGAATGCCCGAAAAAGAAGGGAATCCCTTCAGCCTTAGACTTGCCCAACGAAAAAGCGCCAGTGATTTTCGTAATTTAGGATCAATGCTGTTTTGCAGCTCGTAAACTAGTGGCACAAATCACTGCTCAACTGTGTCGCATGAATTATTGATACATCAACAACTCCCGAATGACGACTGGAATTCATTCAATCAAAGATTGATCCAATTAATACAAAATCAAAGCCCTCACCCCGACGCAGCAATTTCCCTTAAATTTATCTCACATTCCAACTTATTACAATACCAACAATTACAAAAGTACCAGAGACGAACAAAACCACTGGGATCTCAGTTACAGCCAGCCCCCATTTCATCCTAGATAAATCACCAGTAATCGGACAGTTCATGTTTTTACAGTGCTTTTAGATTTATCCAGTCTGATGGAACGTCATCAAGAGGAATACCAGGAGAATAAAGATGAAACGAGAACGAGAGTCAAAGTAAAAACCGCCATATGCAAATACAATATAATAACCCAAGCCGAATACTCAAGCACTCATAAATATCACCATCGACTCGATATTCATTAACGATGTGAATTTGGCCCTTGAAAATTCCAAAAAAGTTATTCAATAAAGTGAATTGCAACCCGTTCACCCCCCTAAGCAGCAACTAACCGATAACCATCAGCGATCTTGATCAATCAGAGAATCGTCACCCCATCGAAAACCCCAACCCACCTGAATCCAGACACATTACAAACAAGCTTCCACACACCGAGAATGAGCCCCCAGCAAAGCCATCAATTCTACCAGTGCAAGCGGTGAAAGATGTGAAAGACAAAGAGACCAAACCAAGAGAAAACAAGGAGATGAGAGAGAAGAAGAGGGGCGTGTCTGGTTGCGGTCCCCACAAAGAAGCACCCGCGTCGGGCCGCAAGGAGAACAAGTAGGGGAAGACACACGAGGCCCATCGGCTTTTTCACCCCACTATTTCGCATGAGGCCCAGCCTCCCCACCACCACAATTTCACGATGAAGCCAGCATGGTCCAGCCACGAGATACTTGCAAGACAGTCGTCAGTTTACGCAACGATTCACTAGCATCAACAGCGAGAAGCAGTGAGTCTCCAAAGTACTTTAGTTTTCCAAACACCGAGACCAAACAGTTGTCTTTAATTTCCTCCGTGTTATTGCAAGTCGCGAGGCAGAACGGATAGCGATAATTCGTGAGTAACTAGTGACAGAACAATGACGAGCTACGTGTGTTTACCCCAACAATACGACATTCTCGATTCGGAGGGCTACGGTTCAGCAAGCAGTCCGGAATCGAATCCAAGAAGCTACTGGCAGATCCAGGAGTCCTACCCCCAGCCCCCTAGATCAAGGGGCAGCAGTTGCGGTAGTGTGAGCTCGATCGACAGTCACAGCACCCAAGACTACCGAAATCTGGAGACAGCAACGGGTTCCGGAATCCTCTCCACAATGACACCGAGTACCTTCAACTTTGCTGAGTTCTACGAGGGCTACAATCGTGAAGCCACCAAGTGCCATGAAGTTGATGAACGCCTCAACTTCAGAACGATCTTCGATGATGCCTACGAAGCTGACTACACGACTAGTGTCAAGACTGTTGGACACTTCAATCAGAAGAGTATCAGCGATCAGGGAGCTGATGCACTCATGAAAGCCTCGATCTATCCGGAGAGCAACAAGCTAGAGGCTATCAGTGGTTACGGCAAGTCCGACTCGACGTATATCAGTGGGACTTACGACCAGAGAAGTGACATGGACATGATGAGAAGCAGATGCAGCGGTCACATGCAGATGAGGTACAGAAGGGACGTCGAGGATTCCATGAAAGACACACCCTACGAGATTCAAAAGACCAAGGACAACATTCAGAAGATCAAGACCGGAGCACCGGGTGTTGAAGTAATGAAGAAGCGGCGATTGGCGGCTAATGCCAGGGAGAGGAGACGCATGAACAGTCTCAACGATGCATTCGACAGGCTGAGGGATGTGGTACCGAGTCTCGGTAATGACAGAAAGCTCAGCAAATTCGAGACCCTTCAAATGGCGCAAACCTACATAGCAGCTCTCTACGAGTTACTTCAACGAGAATGACGTGATCATCGCTTCAATCGTTGTGATACCAATCCGATTGTTGACTGTAACTTCAAGGTAGACAAACGTTGATGTAAATAACTTGATATTTCAATTGTTCTCATGTAAATAATCATGCCTTTTTAACTTATTAACGACACTAGAGGCAGTTAACTTTGTAAATAAGATTTTTCGTTATTTATCAGTAAGAACGATAAACCTGTTCGCCATAAGAATGATAATCATTTTCTGAATAGAATGCAAATGCAGCTAGTGAGAGAGGACCTTTTTTTATTAAATATTAAACGTAAATACCCGTCGACGCAAGAGTCCCACATTCACTTGGCAGTCAATCACAATTAAATACAATTTTGTTGCGGGATGGAAGATGCGAGTGTGTGGATGCCAACAAAAAGAGAGCAAATTGAAATCTTTCTAGCTGACGGGATGATAGATGGTTGAGGAATTTCAAAAACTCCGAGTGGTTAAACCATCAACTCTAACGTTTGTTTTTAATAAATGATGCGTTACTTTCCTCATTTGTAAATATTAGTTATGAATTATGATCGAAACAATATTTTTTTTTCAATCAAAATCATCATGGAGTAGATAATGACGATTGGGTGACGAAATAATGAACATTTGGTGGTGTTTGGAAGAAATTTAAAGAACGAATAACTCGATGTGCGGCCGCCAATAAGAATCAGAGGAGGTGCACATCACGAGTCACTAATCGTTTCTCGGTGGTAACATCTCCATTTGCTAACTCATCGTTGTGTATGTGTTGAGGGCCCCCAGGACAAACTGGACAGGCCGCGGGTGTTTTATTGTATCAACGTCATTCGTCTTACCTTACACCCTGACGAAAGCGTAACATGCTGGCTTCTCACGGCGCGCCAAGCACCCAATCGTTGAATATTTCGCACCCGTGACCACATTACATCGTTTTTACTCGTGTGAAAGGAAAAAACGAAAAAAAAATAGATTATTAGAAAATTGGAGCATTCCTTCAGAGCAACTGCGACTTAATTCTAAGGATTTATTCGTCGAGACCAAATGTATTTAAGTGCGAATGTGCAATGTTAATGAAATAAATGAAAATGATGATGACAATCGATATTCCTTTTTATTTTCGGAAAAAAAATAGAAACCCTTCTCACGTTGATCCCATTCCTCTCGTCTGCAGAAAAATAGAAGTAAGAATGACGGGGAATCACGATATCATGTTATTAAATTTGAATATAAAAAAATCTTGACGGATACTCAAAACATCAGTCAGCAATTATTGAAATCACGTTGATCGGCGGTCAAGATCGGGCACAAAAGAAAAAATAATCGATGGAGTTGAGTGGATGAACGAGTGGAGGGGAATTGTAGACGAAATGAATGCACTGCGGCAGCGGACACCAGTGAAAAATGGAATTCCAATTGCAAAGGTATGTATATTGACGAAGAATGTGACCCTTAGGGCAAGTTCAGAGATTTCTGAACTCGCCAGCCCCCCCGGGTTAGTTCCAAACTTCTGAGAAAAGAAAGGCCTAGCGTCGAAAATTTCATCCCTATAATTTGCCAACATCGAAAAACATTGAGGAAAGGCTAGGGGTGGGGTAGAACGGACACTTGACTTGAATCTTCGTCTAGACTCATCACAAAGCCGGAAAAAATGGTCAAATGTCATTAGAAATTCAGTGAATCATCAACATTTGAGAGGATGAAAGGAGTATTGATTCTGCCCCATTTTTAAAGGACGGAGAATGAAAATTGTAATAATTAAAGGTCAACGCTCAAACTATTCACCAGGAGCGTAGAGTCACATCCAATTATCCGACCTTAAGAAATCGCGCGAGCATGGTAATTGGTATCTTTCAGCTCGCTCTCACGAGAAGCATAAGGTAAATCGATCTTCCTGTGAGATGGTACGTTGGACCCATGGGTTTGATAGAATGCCGGATAGCGGCTTTTGCACAAAGACGTCTTCGATTGTGTGCATCCAATGCTGGCAAGAGTCCTACCAGCCCGGACAAATTGATACCAGGTAACGCACTTGCTTCCAATCCTATCTACCTTACACATGTGGATAACCCCTTGGTGTAATCTCAGGTGGCTGTACAATGACAATTTGTTGGTAATCTTTGCCTCCGCACAAATTTTTTTTCGCCAACTGTGATGATCCTGTCGAGATCTTCATTAGTAGGTTAAAAAAATGATGTTGATATTGATATCTTTGTCAGCTCTCCTTCCTATTTCATTTTGATGCCATTTTTCTGTCTTGTGAATGTCATTAAAACCTCCAATCCTATCAACTTCTCAATTGGAAAGGAATCTCAGTTTGAAAACCAAAAAAATTCCTTGAAAATGAATGCTAGATTGCGGCTTGGGCACAAAGACGTCTTCGATTGTGTGCATCCAACGCTGACAAGAGTCCCACCAGCCCGGACAAATTGATACCAGGTAACGCACTTGCTTTCAATCCTATCTACCTTACACATGTGGATAACCCCTTGGTGTAATCTCAGGTGGCTGTACAATGACAATTTGTTGGTAATTTTTGCCTCCGCACAAATTTTTTTCGCCGACTGTGATGATCCTGTCGAGATCTTCATTAGTAGGTTAAAAAATTGATGTTGATATTGATATCTTTGTCAGCTCTCCTTCCTATTTCATTTGGATGCAATTTTTCTGTCTTGTGAATGTCATCAAAAGCTCCAATTCTGCCAAATTCTCAATTGGACAAGTGTTGGATCAAACAGGTCTTCTTAATCGTCAACATTTCCAGACCAAACGAACCAATTTTGACAAATCAAATCTCGCTTTGAAGATTAATAAAAAATATTGAAAATTTCACTCTGCCATTCTCCACTACACTTTCCAAATTTTTTTTCTGAACTTTCCGGTACACTTTTTGGAAATTCTTATTGAATTTAATTACCACTGAAATTTCATGGAATTCCGGCATAAAAATCCAGAATTTCGTGGAAAAATCAAAGAGAACTGTAAATTTTAGTTTCATTTTTCCCTGAAAATGAGTAGAAAGCCAGAAAATTCTGAACGCGATTTAGAGGGAAAAAATCATGAAATTTCAATGTAATGTGGCACTGAATATTCACATTAGATTGAAAATTCAAATAAATTAAAGAATTCTCGTCTACATGCGACTTAAAATTCTGGAATTTTACTAAATTTTCAGTGAAACCTCAAATTTCATGATTTCTTCCTCCTAAATCGCACTGAGTGTCACTGTCCTGAAAATTAGTAGTCAACTGTCCATGAACGTTCATTTTTTTTTCTAACAGTGTAATTGGCGACTGAAAAAACTCCAATTAACGAATATCAATTTCTCCCCACCGAATAATGCCGCAATGACGCTGTATAAACTCCTGACTCATCTGATTTTCCCCATAAAATCCGCTACTCTAACGGTAGCCATTTCAAACTCATGAAAATATCACAATTCCCGATACGGATATCTCATCACAGCATAACCAAAGAAAGATGATAATCTCCGGAAGTCTCGACTCATCATTCTCTCCGAATCAAACTTCCTAGTCTATCCTCATTGTCCATCGTCTTTACCTCAACGAATTCACCATGAATGACTGTACACCTAACACACCATGAACTTCTCGGTGGAATTTATTCTCGACCACCAACAATCGTCATAATCACCAGGATAATGGTAATTGCAGTTAATGCACTAGGCACCAACGATTATGTATCTCACCCTGTTGAATTACATTGTCGCCTCACTCAACGATTTACCACCCATAGGGCTGTCTGATGAGACCTCAACAACCCAGTGTATAACGAAAATACTGTTCAATTACGCATTTTTGCTTCCGAATGAAAGCCCTGTAATCGTGATTTTTTTTTATTTCTTAAGGATGTTTAGCCATTTTCAGCAAATCTTATTTTTTAATGTTCAAGGAAAATTCTATAATTTTTTTGGCTCATAGCAGAACATATGAAACTAACTTCTTTGATGTTAAAAAAAACTAATCGCAATAGTCTCGCCAGAAATAAATAATTTATGTTGAAATTTATAATTCACCTACTATAAGACTCTAAAAATAGCCATAAAAATAGAAGCAGTCCAATCAAAGACTTCACTCGGAAGCCTACACTGAGAGAAAAACAAACACGTTGTCAAACAAGTCTGGTTTGGGCCAACAAAATCGCTAGTTGAAATTTGCCAAAAAAGAATTTGTTTGGTTGGAATTTGAAAGTCTCAAACATGGATAATTGTTCTGCTTTCGACAGCAACGAAATATTTGGCTCAAGAGGCGGATAATTCACACCAGACGGTGCCTTTTCAGGATGAAAATATCTCATATAGAGGAAAATTTATCAACAAATATTTTATCCCTAACTTACAAGATTGCTATCATATCATTATTATTGTTTCATTTAAGGGTTCATTTCTTGTCTGTGATTATTAGACAGCCGAAACTAAAAACTACTATCCCTTATCCTATTCTAAACAGAATATACGCCGTAAGCTGTAGCGTAACGCTCATTCCTCGAATTTCATTGGTCGAACATTCGGATCCGCCCGCACGTGTTCGACTTCGTTCGGCTTTCGGTTTTCGTGTCACGATTCGTCTTTAACACGCGCGCTCAAGCGCGCAATCGTTCTCGTTTCGTATAAAACAAAGATTTTTTGGGAGCAAAATACGTATGGGAGTATCGAATAATGAAGGAGTAGTGCTAGAAATGACATTTCTTGCGGCTACGGAGAATGCAATTTTTTTTCAACTACTAAATCTATTTTTGCGACAAAAATTTTTCATTCTGGTGCACTCTCTGCATGTTTGGCACAAAAAAATCCTTTTTGATAATTTTCAAAAAACTATTTTCTTGGCACAAGCAAGACTTGTTTGAGAACTTTGTCGTTTTTCTCTTAGTGTACTACCGATGGGAATGAAAGTAGAAAAAAAAAAACGCGGAGAGTAGTTGTTCGTTCACACCAGTTGTAAATATTGCAATCATCTCGTCATAAACTAGCCATTGCTACCGATTCATTG